GACATGCATGGAGGACGCTGTGACAGTGTCAGGGTGCCACACGGGCATCCTCAGGGCCCCCACGGCTCCCTGGAGACATGGCAGATGGTTTCGGACTGTAAGCTGTGCTGGTCCCTGCGTGACCTGCTAGGTAGCCCTGAGTGACTCCCATGTGGACTCTGGACACCAATTCCCCTTTTGTGACAACATACTGCCCCCCCCCTCCCAACCAGGGATTTGAACCCAGGTCATCAGACTTCAGTTTGTCCTTGAACTCCCCCTACCCCCCAGATTCTTGCTATAGGGCATGTGCACTGGCCCTGGAGAGACAGAGTGAGTCCAAGAAACAGAAAGCAAGAAATCACTCCCAGGAGGATGGCCACGTTGCAATCCCTTCTCCTCCATTCTCCTCTTGGGATCTTGGGCACACACGCACAGGCACCTGGTGTGAGTTTAAGCCTCCGGGTCCGGGACTCGAACCACAGTTGACTACATGGGAGTCCAGCGACATAGCCATTACTTCAACTGCTGGTCCCCTGGTGTGAGCTTTAAACCACCAGATCCGGGACTCCAAAGGCAGTTGACCACGTGGGAGTCTAGAGATGTAATCTTTACGCCATCTGCTGGTCTGTCCCAGATACTTTTATTTTTTTTTTTGAGAAGTTTTTGTGGATAAGTGAATAAATGAATGGATCAGTGGGTAGATGATGGATGGTAGAGGAATGGGGAGATGAGTGGGTAAATGGATGGATTGATGGATGTGTGAAAAAATGGATGGAGAGACTGATAAATAGGTGGAAGGATGGTAGATGAATGGGTGGGAAGATGGAGGGATGGTAGGTGAGTGGATGGATGGTAGAAGGGCGGATGGATAGATGAATGAGTGGGAAGATGGAGGGATGGTGGACCAGTGGATAGATTGATTGATGGGTGGATGGATAGATAAATGGATGAATGGCAGGCTAGACGGATAGATGAATGGATAGACAGTAAATGAAGGGGTGTATGGATGATAGGATAGATGAATGGATGGGAAGATGGAGGGATGGTAGATGAGTGGCTGGATGGTGGATGAGTGGGTGGACAGATGAGTGGATGCATGGTAGAATGGGTGGATAGATGAATGGATGGATGACTATATGGGAAGATGAAGGGATGGTAGCTGGGTGGATAGATGAACAGATGGATGGTAGGACAGATGAAGAATGGGTGGATGTGGGACCAGCAGTTAGCGTAATGGCTATGTCACTGGACTCCCATGTGGTTGACCGAGGTTCGAGTCCTGGACCCGATGGCTTAAACTCACGCCGGGCGTGTGTGCGTGCGTGCCCAAGATCCCGAGAGGAGAATGGAGAAGGGATTGCGGCTTGGCCATCCCCCCTGGGGGGTGATTTCTCGCTTTCTGTCTTTCTGTCTCGGTCTGTCCCTGTCTGGCGAGCGCACGTGCCCTATAGCAAAAACCTCTCCAAAAAAAAAAAAACAAGAATGGGTGGATGGTAGGATAGGTGAATGAAGGGATGGGTGGGTGGATAGATGGACAGATGAACAGATGGGAAGATAGAGGCCGGATGGCTGGATGGCTGATGGGTACAGATGAATGGGTGGATGGGTGAATGGTAGATGAGTGGATGGATGGATGGCAGGATAGATAGATGAGTGGATGGGTAAACGGATGGATGGGAGGATAGGTGAATGGGTGGATGGGATGGCAGGATGGATGAATGGGCGAATGGGTGGATATGGGTAGATGGGGAGACAGAGACAGAGAGGCAGTTTCACAGTGCAGGATCTGCGAATGGTTGGAATGCGGACTTGGCAGGTGGGTGTTTAGATGACAGAGGGGTCTTTGGATGGATGGAGATACGAAGACTGAGGCGATGGCAGGATGAGTGGATGCCTGGTTTGGTTAGGGAGCCAGGGGCTCCAGGTTCCCTCAAAGGGGACTGACCTCCACGCCTCAGCTCTCCCTACTGGAGGACAGGCTGTGGCCCCGGGGACAAAGGCCTGGAGGATCCCTAGGGCACATGGCTGCCCTTCTCAGGGTCCCACCTGTCTGCTTTGGAGAGTAGCCTTCCCAATGGGGTTGTCACACTGACCCACCTCATCGGTTAGGACTGTGGGTACAGGTCTGTGCCCCAAGGTCCAGGGACCCTCTTATAGCACTGTCTGGTGTCTCCCCCCATTCTTTTATCTATGAGAAAATATGCTGCCTGGGAGCTGGTAGGTGGTGATGGCTGAGGGCACTGGATTCCCAAATGGCTAACCATGGTTCAAGTCCTGGGGCTGGCGGGTTGCTGTCTCCCTTTTCCTTTCTTTCTGGACAAATTTAAAAATAACAAATGGAATTAAATATATTCCAAAATGTTTCCTGGGGTCAGCAGGTGGCATGGTGGCTAAGGGGCTAGACACTCCCATATGGCCGACCACGGTTTGAGTCCCAGAACTGGAGGCTTGCTTTCTTCCTCCTCCCACCCCCAGCCAAAGTTAAATAAATAAATGAATAAATAAGATCAAGTAACTTTTTTGAGGTTTTGGCTCTAGAGCGTGTGCACTCTAGAGCGTGTGAGAGAGACAGAGATGGCCACACCGCAATTCTTTCTCCTCCATTCTCCTCTCGGGATCTCGGGCACATGTACCCGGCCTGAGTTTAAGCCGTGTCCGGGACTCAAACTATAGTCGACTACACGGGAGTCCAGTGATATAGCCATTATGCTAACTGCTGGTCCCCCCACCATTCTTTTAACGAATGTTCCCTGAGGCTGTCCCCACCACCTTAAGGACACAGTGACACACCAGGCAGTATTCCCCTAGAATGTCTGGTGGCGAAACCAAATTTAGCACAGCCACGTGGATGACATGGCTTAGAAGCCCGAGAGAGAGTGCCAACCCAGGGACACCTGTGGTGGCCATTCCAGGGAATCCGGCCATTGCAGGACTAGGGTGACAAAGAGGTGTGTGTGTGTGGGGGGGGAAGGCTTCCGCAGTGGCCTGGGGGGTCCATGTTACCATGTGTGAACAGTTGCCAGGTGCCTCTCCAGATTCCTGGGTGTTGCAACACTCCACAAGAGGTCTGAAGTGGCCTGGATTTGGGAACCATCCTGGGGGGTGCTGTGTCCCTGTTCTGGACTTGAGCCCGGACCCCCTGCTGCCTCCTCTCAATGCCAGCTCTCTGGGATAGGCTGGCAGCCCCTGTGGACCACACCTGGGACCTGCATTTCCTGACCTTCAGTTGACACCAGGAACTCCTGGCCATGCCCCAGAGCCCCCCAGCCCCCACCCCTGGCTCAGCTCCCACCTGGCTGAGGGGCTTAGTTAGGGCAGCCACCCCCAGGGTTGGATTAGCTTCGTGCCTGGAATTTTCCAGGCCTAAGAGGTTTCCTGGAAACAAAAGTCCACAGTGAGAGGTGACCTGCCCAGGAAAGGTTAGGGCGGTACCCAGCATGGACCAGGCCCCCAACCAGCACTGGACAAAAGGGTTGCCAAGGCTGAAGCCACATCCCCTGGGTGCCCCCTAGCGCCTGTCCGGGGAGAAGCCCCGCGAGGAAAGAGGTTAACTCTAATCCCAGCACCTGGGATTCTCTGGGGCAGGGGGTCAGCAGGGACCTGCACTCATCCATCGGACCAGGGTACAGCGAGCAGCCCTGCTCCAGAGAAGCCGCATCCCATCCCACATAGCCAATTGCATGGCTCGAGCCCTGGACCTGGTGACCTGAAAGGCCTGGCGGGTGCTGTGGTCAAGGCCCAAGTGGCCAACCCTGGTTTGTCTTGGACCCAGGGCTTGCTTGCTCAATTTCCCTCTCTCTGGTCAAATTAAAACAAATGAATACAAATTAAATAATAAAGCAGATGATCCACAGGAGACCACTGTCTGGAACCTAGCCAGCCAAGCGCGTGAACACCCAGGACCGTGAGGGCTAGAAGGGGGTTCACTGTGCGGCTGGACTGCTCCCCTTCTTCACACGTACATTGTTTTAAAAGAATTTTACTTAACTTCATTTATTTATTTTAATTTGATCAGAGAGGGACAGAGCAAAAAAGAAAAAGCAAGTCGCAAGGTCCAGGACACAAACCTCGGTCAGCCATGCGGGAGTCCACTGCCCTTAACCATCACGCCACCTGCTGGCCCCAGAGGTAAGGCGAGAACCCCTCACCAGCGTGGGGAACAGTCACGCGGCAAGCCCCTTCCATTCTCCTTGGGATGTCTGCCCACGTGGGATCCAGCACCTTAACCCCCATGTCACCTGCGGGCCCACGTGCACAAATTCTTACCACAAATACAAAGAGAAAGTTCATGGAGAGTCGAGGCTGGAGTGTGACAAAACCCAGGCCCCGTGGCCCGCAGTACAGCTCTGCCCATGGTCACACAACGGGCTGCAAACTGCTGAGGCCTGGGGAGGGGCAGGGTCGGCCGAGCAGGCGGGAGGGCACCTTGGCGGGAGTGGGGGGAGTCCCGGGCCTCACTCCACCCCAGCAGAGGCCGAGCCTGTCTGCACCGCGACCCCTCCCGCCCGTTATGCCTCTTGAGCCGGCAGGCGTGCAAAGAAAGCAGACGGGGCGCACTGGCTGGTCCGAGTTTATTTGGGCCGCCCCGGGGGCCCCGGGCCTAGAAGAAGGTGTTGGGCCTCTTGGTGGTGAACCGAGGCTTGTGCTGGCGCCGCAGGACGCGGTGGGGCAGCGGGAACTTGATCTTGGAGTCCTGGGAGGGGGAGGAGGAGGAGGGTGAGGAGGGCGCTCCAGCCCCCCCAGTGGGCTCCCCGGGGCACCCAGGCGTGGCCGCCCCCCAGGGCCCTGCGTCAGCGCCCCCGGGGCCCGGCACTCACGTGGAACTGCTTGACTGCCGGCCGGCGGCACTTGCTGGCTGCGATCTCCTCCACCTTCATGATCTGGATGGAGTGGGCGCGGGCGCGGTGCCGGGCGCCCATGTCGCGGTCGTGGGGGAAGGAGTGGGTGACTGAGCGCACACCAGGCCCCGCAGCTCCCCGGGCGCCCGGCGTGCAGCAGACTAGCCGCTGGGTGGCCACAGGTGTGGGACCTCCAGATTCACTTTGAGGGGCACGGCCACAGCTCCCCAAAGGCGACGAGGTCCGCTTGCTGTCCGCACCCCTGTTTAAGTCGCAGCTACGGCAAACCGCGGCCCTTGGGTTTAGGTGCGAGCTGGTCACCACCGAGGGCACCCGGGGTGGGCTCAGGTTCTAGGGGGTTCCAGCAAACGCCATGACACGGAATCCAGGCTCCCCCGGGGAGGTCCAGGGCCCCCAGCCTGGTTGGGATGGCATAGGCCCCGCATACTGCCACCACCTGCACCCCAGGACACCCCTAGCCCCCCACGCGCCTGCGCCCTCCCTGCCCAGCCCCAGGGCCGCGTACAGCACTGGGTGACGGCGCCGGCCGTGGTGAGGTCCCGGTACTCGCGGTACATGTTGTGCGTGCCGCTGCGGGAGTCGTAGCGCAGCCAGATGCCGAAGTTCTTCACCCGCAGCGGGGACTTCTCAAACACCTGCCGGCAGGAAGGGGGGGGAGGTCAGTGCAGGAAGCAGCGCCCACGCTGGCCCTCGGCCTCCCTCTTGTCCCCACCCCTAGACTCACGGGGCCCAGCCCCTCCTGCCTCCGTTCCCCATGCACCTGTGGGCATGCTCGGGGAATCTGCCTGAAAATGCCCACAGCCACAGGCCGGCTGCCTCCCCCTGGAGACTGGCATGGCTCCAGCCTCCTGCCCCAACACGCAGCTCCCCGGTGCCTATAAGGCAAGGGGCACAGGTGCCCACCGCGT